AAACATATTAATTACAAATTTGTCCCTACTATATCACGCATCTATTTCCATATCAGAAAGACAAAAAGAAGATAGTATTACAGTTTCTACTCCAATGTGAGACGATTAGAGTTTCTTTTTTCTGTATTTTTTCATGTATTATTATTTTTTCTGTATCAATAAAGTGACCCTGGCGGTTGATTTCACAAATATATGTTTATTTTTTTCAGAAACGAGATCAGCAAATTAATAGACATCAGAATTACCATATTTGTTTCATGTTTTTGCGATGATTATAGCCTTAACTGCGGAAGAATAGTATTATGCAATTTCACGGTAATAGCACGGTATTGATATGGTATTTTTTCAGATCTAATAGTAAAATATATTATTCGACAATGCTATTAGCGTGGGCGGATAAGAGGATCATCTTCTGTCCTAGTGAGATCAAATACAACAAACTTACCCTTTTTGCAAAGATAGCTATTAATGACCACCATACTAAAGGAGCAGTCAGGACTCGCTTCATGGCCTTACGCCCGAGATGATGTATGCTTAGCGGCCTCATCCATATCTATAAGGTAAAGTTTCATAGGGGGTAGTCCTGTCTTTTGGTTCTTTTACGTATTGGATTGGGAATGCATAACCTTTATTTCTATTTATGGGTATTGTATATTTCGGAAAATTTTCTTCCTTTTTATCAGAGTGAAAAAAATGTCTATATATATACCATATAATTAGTATAATCACTAAAGCAAGAATCATAAGTTCGAATATAGGCAGAAGCATATACTGATTATCAATTAGAGCCTTACTAGCTCCTAATACAACAATGGGTGAAGCTGAGATACTATCATGTTTTTCTTTTGATTTTTGATCAACATGAAGATGGTCTCTTTGGGGCTCTATCTCATCTTTTACTTTGCTTTTATCACTCTGAGCAGTGTGAAGAAAAATGGGATACCTCTTCTACTGCTTCACCTCGCTTAGCCAAAGGTGCTAAAGCATAATCATTGGATGATGAAACTGTATCTGCTTCTGCACTACCTATTTTTGAATCATTAATTGACTGATGCGATTGCGAAATGATCTGATCTAGTTCATCTTCCAGATTTCTTACCCTAGACCTGAGACAGAAAATTAACCCATTCTTAAATGATGAATTTTGCGTAACTTTCTCCAATTCATTTTCCAATTCCTTAACGTCTTATCGCTCAACCACACTAGGTATCTGAGGGTTTTCTGGCTTCGAATTTATGAGAAGACGGGCCTCCAGTTCATTTATTTTTGTCTCAAGAGAATCGATATCGGAATCCTTCAAAGATGAAGCTTTTTGCATTGAAGATATTATGCTTTCCAGTGATTTAACCATAGACCTTAGCGATTCTATTTCTTTTAACTGCTTGGCATTAAGAGTGGCATGAGACTTTCGTTCGCAAGTAATTTGGGAGACAAGCTTATTATTCAAACTATTTAGTTGATTAGCTAGGGGGGCAATTTGATTTATAGAATTATGCATACGCTCATTTTCCTCATGTGAGTTATCTAGATCATTTTGCATACGCTCATTTTCCTCATGCGAGTGATCTAGATCATTTTGTATACACTTATTTTTTTCATCTAAGACATGATATTTAGTT